TAAAAATAAAAAGTCCCCGAAATGAATGAAAAACTCAAATTTGTTGATATCCTTATTTAGAGTAACTCGCACAATTCAATGACAATCCACTAATGCGGCAACATTTTGTTCTTTTGAGTTTTGTTTGAGTGGAAGAAAGTAAACTTTAGTTTTTTCACATTTTATTACAATATTAGAATTTGTACATACGGTCCTCTTCATATGCAACTATAAATTTATCACATAAATATCTCAGAAAAAGAGAGCAACAAAAGCCAAATACAAAAAAAGTGATACCTGATTGTGACAGAAGCTGCAGGAATGTCATTAAATTTAACAAAGGTCAAACAACACAGCAGTCGTTTAAAGAATAATAATTAAAACGAAATTAGAAATTAATTTCAAACTCCTGATCATTACTCTTAAAACAGAAAGTTGTTGTTGTTGGTCGCAGGATTTGAGTTGCATGAAGAGTGTCATTTTAACTAAGTTTTTTCTTAATCAAACCCTAATGGGAATAAAAAAACCTTGTCTAACTGATCAACAGTGACCTTCAAAAGATTCCAACAAAAATAAACAGCAACCACTTCCTTGGTCACTCCTCTGAAAAAGGGTCTTGTCTTGAAGTTTAAACACAAAGTCTACTTTTCTAACTAGTAACCTTTAGTAGAGATGGATTAAAAAAAAATTAGAAACGTCTCTGGCATTTTCTAGTGTATTTTTTGTACATTTACAATTTTAAGTTTTGACAAAATTTTGTGAAAGATTTTGCATCTTACAGAATTTCCATGTTATATATTGTTGCACTTTTTTTAATTGTCTGGGTTTTAAACAAGAATAGAGGTTGTTCTGCATTCATTATTCACTGGGAGTTCAGAGATGTTGTCAGACAGAGTCACTGAGGAGAAATTACTGATCAAATTTGAATTTAGGAGGATCCAGACAACTGTCGTTTTTAATGTTATGCTAGATGATATCACACCAACCCACAGCACTGCCATTTAAATACAAACAAGTTGAGTTTAGAGACATAAGGAAATAACAAACAGATCCCAAAACACTGTTGACCAAAGTAACTACTGCCAGGAATAATAATTATTGAGTTTAGAAGATGTGTAGAATGAGGCACTGTCATAATTAACGTGTCAATAGTGTTAGTAAATTTGTGAACTTGATCAGATAACCACTATGTGTTCAATAATTCCTCCGTCCCTTTTTTTTTAACATTTCATGTTATTCGTCATATTGGGAAACTTAAATATAAAAAATAATTTGATTTTTCATGATTAATTACCGTTACGTTTAATGGTGATTAATCCAATTATTCTGTAGCTACTGTGGATTTAATCAAATTAAAACCTATCCTCGATTAAACAATAATCAAGTAGTGAAATAAAGCAGTCGATCGGAGACAGTCCCCCTCTGAACGACTAGACCAAATGAAACCATCGTCCAGTCAACGTGTGGTGATGTCGAAACGAAATATGACAGAGAACTTGGTCGGTAGAAGACAAGAGAGTAAAGGGAACGGAATATTAGTGATTTAAAAAAATATTAAATTATGTCAGTTCATATATATATTTATACGCATGGTGACATACATTATAAGAATGATAAAAAATAAACAGTAGCACCTGAAGGCGTGTTTATACAAATCTGTGTAGGTCAACAGTACTCAACAACGTAAACCTTATATAAAGACCTCATACGTAAATTTATATATATACATATATATAGTTGTTTTCAACATGAACATGAACAAACTTTTCTGGAAAATAATGTGTAAAATATGCAATGTTAAAAGTTATAATATATATATATATGTATATATATATATATATATATAAACGTATAAATGTACAAAGTAAATACAAAACCAACCCTGCAAATCAAAACTCAGAAGACAAGAACATAATAACATTTACTCACTTTAACGTCAGGCCCAGACATTTCTGAAACATTTTTCTTTGTTTTACTAATTTTTCTCGTCACTAATGTCGGAGTGTGAAGATGAAGATGTTCAGCTGCAGGTGTCAGAGCATCTGGTCTCCTCCTCCTTTTCTTCTCACCGTTATCTGACCCATGTGTGAGCGGTGACTGGGATGTCGATGTTCCAGAGTGAACTTACGCTGGCTGTGTTGTATTTATTTACCTTTTCTTTTGAAATTCCTCTGAAGGAGTGACAGTTCGAGCACCAACTGTGGTCCTGTGTTAATAGGCGTCTCTCTTCGTGTGCATTTGATTCTGGATCCTCTGCAGCATCTCCTGCATCCGCCGCAGCTGAGGAGACAGAAAACAATCCGTTATGTTGACTGTTAATGCCTGACTGCACTAACAGAAAATCAATAACAACGAGCAGGGATGTAATCGAGTCTGTGCTTTCCGGATCACGTGACAGCACTGGCTGTTTTGGAATATCAGTCAGTCATTTATGCATATGTGACTGCTTTGCCAGAAAAAAATCCAAAATATCTATTTTATGAAAACATAAAAGAAACAACTAGGGGCAAATGACATCTTTATTTCACATTATAAATAAATGGAAAATGGGGGAAAATAAAATAAATACTTTAAAACTGTAGAATGGCTCATGGACAATATAAATTACTATTATAAGAGACAAAAAAAAGTTTATGTTTATTATGAATACAACATTTCTGTAACTCTATCAACGTAAACGGCAGAACTTGTAAAGAACACGAGCAGCTAGAGAGACAAAGCGCTTCAGTAACATCACAGGTCTGTTGGAATTTCATCATTTCACCTTTAACTTAAATATATTATATTATATTTCTTATTTATTGCTCAGTGAATGTGAGTGAGCAGAAGGTTGAGTGTATGTTTACAACATAAATAATACAGTTGGGGTTAAACCAGAAGACCTTAACCCTAACTTACCCGAACTCTGGATGGTCCTGACCTCTGATCTCTGACCTCGACCAAAACCCAAACCAAACCCTGACACTATAACAATAACTCTGGATGACTCCAACCCTAACCTCTGGTCGACCCTCCCTCTTTCTCCGCTAACTTTTTTCAACAGGTCAAATGAGGTTCAACACATGGGTCATGTTTCTGAAGCTGCTCATTGTCAGCTTCAGAGAACATGGGCTGAGTTTTGTTTTAAATCAGTATCTGTCATGTGACGACACTATGGTCAGACAGCCTGGTCTTCCAGCTGACGTGACTGTGTCTCAGACTCATGTTGATCACAGCTGTGGTCCCCCCGCTGCTCAGGACCACGTTGTTGCTGATGTGACTCTGGTTCGTGGTCTGCGGACCGTACCTCGTCGTCTTTCTCTCGGATGAGTTTTTCTGTCTCGCTGTCCGTCCCTCCTGTCACCAAGGGGATGGGGAAGTCTGTGCCGCTCTCTCTGGTCAGTTTGCTGCAGGTACAGGAGTAAGAAATCAGCAGCCACTTTTTTTGTAAGATGCAACATTAATTTAACAGATCTTTAAATTCACTTTCACACATTGGTTTTTAGAAGTATCTGTTCGATATCATTTTCACTTTTTTATCAATTATTTTTACTGAAAGTTAGAAAAGCTAAGCTAGTTAGCTGAACTGAGATTGAATAAAGTCGTCCTCTGTATACACTCGCCTATGTATGAAAATGGGGTTTAATTCAAGTTTATTCATGACTTGTTTTGGGGGTGTACAGCACTACCCATCAGTGGGCATTCAAGACATTTGGTGTCCAGACGTTGTCCAAAAATCTTTTGACAAATTTTAACATTCAATTTTTATAAAAACTATGATGGGGTACCAGTGTATGAAAACCCATCCACACGAGTGTTTGCAAATGTGTCTGGTGAGCCTACTTGCGGTTGCGTTCCTTTACCACCATGCGGGTCATACTCTGGATGCACTGGGCCCTGTAGTTCTCGTAGTGTGTCTCCCGGGTCACGTCTTTAAGATCTTGCATGTGTGTGCGAACGAGCATGTTCCTCAGCTTCACAAAGTCGCAGTGAGCCGAGTTCTCTACTGCAAACGGGTTTTTACAAGTGTATTCAAATAGTCAAATAATTAAAAAAAAGATGTAAGACATAGAAACATGCAGCTGGAATGTCAGTGATGAGATTTAGAATTTAAATTTCCATTTGAACGGTATTTGATTGACCAACCTTCCACGATGCCCCAGGGATACAGTCGTCCTCGAACCCTCTTCCCCTTGGCTTCCACAACTGTGTTGCTGCCAATTACAGCAAAAGGAATGCTCTCCTGGAGCGAAGAACAAAAAAAGAAATGTTTTCTTTTAAACAAAGACAAAAAGGACCAACGTAGATCAAAGATCTTAGGACTTCAGAAGTCAACGTTGTGTACAAAGTATCGATAACTTACTGCCAAAAACAAAAGAAAAGGTGACATTTTTGGCCATCAAATTGAAACTTCTCCAAGTCTCACCTTCAGCTCCAGGTCCTGCTGCTTGAATTCTTCATCCTCGTCAGAGTCACAGTCGGGAAACTGGTAGATTTTAATGCCATACTGTTCGATCTCCTCCCTGATCTGCAGAGGAACAGGTGTATGAAATAAATGAAGTCAGCTTTGCTTTGATTTGTACGATTTGAACATGTTTATCACTGTTTTTTCTCCTGCCTTCATTTTCTTCTTCTTGACCTCACTCGGTGTCAGCGTGTCGGCTTTAGCCAGAACAGGGACGATGTTCACCTTCTCATGCAGAGCCTTCATGAATTCAACATCCAGGGGTCTAAGGCTGGGAAACATGGACTGTGTTACTTTAAAAAAAATGAAATTCTAGGAAATGCAGAACACTTTGCATTTCTCCGACTGACAACACGTGTTCAGTCATGACTAAAATAATCCAAAACAGAAATTTGGTTATTTTTTGTTTTTAATTTAAATAAGCTGACAATTAGACCTTAGTTTGAGATGAAAACGCACTGTGACTGCAGACGTTTACTGCTCCTCTTAGTGAGCCATCTGTTGTGTAATGACTCAATCTCATCAACAGAGGGAGCGTTTTCTCCATCCATTTGACTTTGGAGAGAAAAAAAAGGAAACCTCACTGCAGCACTGCCTAAGGTTGATGGCACATTAGATCACTATAATGTATAACTGTGCAAAGGCTCGAAAGAACAACATCAGCACTTAGAACGAAGCACAGATTCAAACAGAAGCTCTGCATCAGATGTAAATTCACCTGCAGGCAGCAGAAAACTGCTTTAACTCTGGACAACAGGCTGCAGCATTAACAGAGCTGAAAAACGCAGCGCACTGAAAAGAGGTATGGCAGCTCAAATAAAAAGAAAAAAAACATCTTAAGCTAGCAAAAATGTAATTAAAATCAATTAAGCTAAATTTGATTGCAGAATCAGTTTATGTAAAATCTTACATTCTGCAAAAAATAAATACATAAAACAAATGATGATCAAAAACCTTGGCAGAGATTTGTAACATCAAAATGGAGTCACATGTCAAAGAAGGTTGGAAACCACTAACAGATGCTGTAATTAACATTTCTAACATGTATATTTTTTTTCTTTTTTGTGACTTGTTTTGCGTCAAATTAAAACTAAGAAAAGTCTTCTGCTGGAGCCTGTGAGTAGAATCTAATCTGTACACGAGCACAGCAGGTGTGTCGTACCCGTGACCGAAGGGCGAGATGAAGTAGAGGCAGCAGTGAACGCGATTGTCCTGGATGTTCTTGCGGTTGAGGCCGCTCTCGTCCCTGAAGTACTGCTCAAACTGCTGGTCGATGTAATCGGCCACTGACTTCCAGCTGCAGCAGAAACAAACAGAAAGAGTCAATGTCTCTAAAGCTTCACTGTTTCACATGTTGTTTTTCTACTCCAGTGGTTTTGTTTTGTACCATTCTGTGTTGTTGACAGCGTCTCCAAACCCCGGCGTGTCCACGATGGTCAGTTTGAGTTTGACACCTTTCTCTTCTATGTCCACTGTGTGTTTGGTGATTTCGACTGTTTGTGTGATTCTCTCTGAAGTACAGACACATCCAGGCCAGTGAACAGAAACAAACATTTATTCAACAAAGCCACGATTAAAAGGCTGCGGCTTCCTTACCTTCAGCATTGAGCAGTTTCCTATCTTTGTAGAGATCTGTGAGAAACAGGCTGTTGACCAGAGTGGACTTCCCCAGACCAGACTCCCCTTCAAAAAAAAGAACAACAGAACCAAACCGCTGAGGTTAGGGCTGTGTTCTTAACAATGTCTTTAAAGCTCAAATCGAGTCTTAAAATAAGGTTTTCATTCAAGAATAGTAATTCACCTGCCACCATGAGGGTGAAGTCGAATCCCTTCTTCACAGACTTGCGATGCACCTGGTTTGGCAAAGTTGCAAATCCGACATATTCCTTGTCCTGGTCCTAAAGACAGAGACCACAGTTGAGGTCAGAACAAAAAGACACACATCTTCTTGTGGAAGTGACATCATCAGGATTTGTAAATCATTTTTTCATAAATCAACAGTAATCAACAGCAACAGTTCGCCCTCATCCACCAAAAACTTTATTCAGTCACATCAACTACAGTTCACTGGTCACATGACAAACGTCTCAGCACAGAACCCACTCTCAGCCTCTAAACCAGATCTCCAGACACTGATCCTGTTGATCATCTCTGCTCTCCCTGCACTGACCCCCACATGTTACCTCGTTGCTGTCGTAAGGGTCCAGTGGACCCCAGGGGCTCCTGGGTCTGGACGTAGTGGCGGAGGATGACAAGTCAAACTCCACACTCTTGCTCTTTGTCAAGCTGGGCTTTGAACCCGACTCTGACTGTGTGCTACTCTCCACGGGAAGATGTAAATGTGTGGGTGTGCGGGGGCGCTCTTCACCCCCAGCTGCTTCCAGTGGATCTGGACCGTGGTGGTCATGGTGGCTGTGCCCTCCTTGGTGGTGAGGGTCTTGCATAATGTTTGCTACCTCTGAGTCTTCAGACAGGCTCGAATGCTAAACGGGTGTAAACATGGGGGAAGAAATAAAAGGTGGAGGCAAAAAGATGCAAAGGGAACAAGGAAAAAAGGGGTTGGAGATCGGGTCAAAATAATGATCAGATAAATGTTGTATTGTTGGATATTAATGGAAACTGAAGAATGGGTAACAGCATCTCATCTCACAATGTCTCACAATGTTATGTGTGACTAATTCCATCATTTGGATTAGTGACAAATAAAAACTTGACATCTATCTGCTGTGTACAGAAACAAATATTTATCTAGTACATAGTATATCTTGTGGCATGTCTTGAGAATATATAAATAACTGTCCAGCCAACAAAAACTTTCACAGCCCTCTGCTTTACCTATGTGTTACAGATTGTTGACATGAACTCTTCCAGTAACCGCTCCACCAGTTACAATGAAATAAATATAAAAGTAAGTAAAATATACATTCAGCTACTTTGCATAAACCTATCTCGCCACAGTAGCTCTTTTTGGCCAGGCAGACTGAAGCCTCAATGTAACTTGAGAACAAAAATAAATAATGCAGTGACCCTCAGAAGGAACCAACGCTATTTAAGATTCAGCTGCAGTTCCATGCTGTGCCTCATGTCCCACGTTTATGATGAGTTAAATGTAAAAAAGTTTTTTTTGTAAAGATTAAAAGTAATACAGAGAAACAGCTGCTTCATGGAAAAGACAGTAACTGTCGAGTACTAGTATCAGAAGGGTTTGAGACTTTGGGGGAGGGGCTTACTGGTACCTGTCCGTCATCACAGTCCCCACTGCAATGTGGGAAGCAGTTCTGGTCATCTGAAAAAGAGTGGTCACTGTCCTCCATTGCAAATGGGGCAACAGAACACTCTGCAATCTCCAAACAGAAGGGGGTGCACATGAGGAGGGGTTAATGGTGAAATAAAAGCATCAATGTGAACAAGGTGATTAAAAAAATGAAATAAAATATTAATTTAAAGCAAAATATATGGTAAATGGTATCAAAAAAATAAGGTAAAATGAGAAACTGGTTGACAATGTGCTGAATTCTGGCACACAGCAGCTAACACTGCTTTCATTGATATTCCTGCTTCAAAGTCACGTCTTAAAAAAACAAATTGCACGGCAGACCATAACAAAAATGTCACAAAACGTGTTTGTGACATATATAATGACCCTCCTAGTTTCAAGTTACTTACTAAGAGTGAATACTGGCTCTGTTTAGTTGAACACAACACTGATATAGACACAGGAATTGAAGAAAAACAAAGATATTCTTCAGCAGCTCTGATTGGCTTCTTGTTTTTTTTTTTTACTTTCATAGCCATCTGCTTACACCTAGTGGAACAGTGTTTATTTTTCTTGCCGTCACTATTGCATAGATGATCAAAGAGAAATCATCTGTAATTTAGCGACACTGGATAACAGTGGTTAGGAGAAAGTTCTGGATGACTGAATGACATGCTGATGTGTCTGACAAACCAGACTCCATGAGTTCAAACCACTTTTAATATATAACTCTAATCTATAATTCTGGTTCCATCACTGTAGCCCTGTCCCATCAGGGGCATCATCATCATCATCATCATCTGATGATTATCCAGCCTCTATCAGTGGCAGCACATCAGAATGTTAGTCCCAGATGCAGGGACATACATTAATTCAGAGAGCATGATTCATGCTGTAGGCTGCATGAACATTTCAGTGATACATGGACCCACAGTTGGACCACGTTGAGAGCTCGTGCTCCTGAAGAAATGCTCTGCAGTCAACACTTCCATACTGTTCCAGAATGTTAGTCCAAACTGGAAAAAAAAACAGACTAATACAAGTCTCTCTCTTAGTTGAAGAGCTTTGACTATAGAAAAATATTAACGTTTATTTTATTTTTATTTTGTAATTTAAATTCAAGGCAAAGAAGATGTAAATACTTTTACAGATTAATAAAAGCATGTCCTGATTCCCTGTGCTCACCACAGACTGTTAGATCAATGTCCCATATGGTACATCCTGTGACCTACATGAAAAAGGTGGTCGAACTTGTAGCTTGAAACCAAATTGTTAAAAGTTTTGGAAGCAATAAAATTGCATTAAATATGCTTGAATTACAACCTACAGCATCACAGAAAAGACAGTAATACAGCACAAATTGAATTCTCCACATTACACACACACACCACCTCCCCCTCCTCACCTGTGGGAGATTTTACCAGAGCTTCTAGTCTCCTCTTCTAGCCTCAGTGTGAAGTGGCCCTAATGATCAACACGGCAGCTTTTATAACCCTGTCACAGAGGACACTGTGTCCTTCCGCCCCGTCGAGCCACTTGCTGCCCCGGGGGACTGATCAACAGAATTGATCATCACTGTGTCACTGCTCACAACACTGACCGACAAATTCACAAAACTACAAACTACTACATTAGAATTTTCCAGAATTCACTGACAATGGTGTGGTTTTATAACTTGAATAACAATTTTAATGTATTTTATTTCTATTTTTTACTGATGAAAGGTACAATTTAGATATATTTTGATTGTAGTTAAGACAAACAAACTTCTAAACTGCCACTATTAGACCTCAACACCGCCCTACCTGTGCTGAAGTCTAAAATAGCTGCTCTCACTCTGTGACACAGACCAGCTGACATCTCTGATGTGTTCTGACATCTATTTCACCGTCTCCCACCAGACTGTGTCTCCACTGAGATATGAGCCATTTACAAGTCCTATAACAGGCTAAAGTGACTTCAGCGATTTCAGTGAAGGAGTAATTTTTATTTTACCCCTGATGCCACATAGAATCTGTCAGTGCGGTCAACCAGATTAGTCAGATATGAGCTGTAACCTGGAATCCCGTAGGGATCTGAACATGTCCGGCAAAAGAAGCTTAAAAATTCCTGAGAAACTTTATACACATTTACTAGATGTGCAGAGGAAATGAAACAATGGCGCGTGCACAGAAGCAGCTGCGACTATGGAATTTCCTGCTGCTCTGATAGAAATGCACTTGTGGCGTTTTGATGTGGACCTACGGCTTGGACAAACATCTGGAGGAGAAGATGGTTTGGAATGTCATGTTTGTCCTGCGTAATGAGGAGAAGTGAGACTAAAGCATTCATTTTAGGCATGAAGCAATTTAGTGCATGTATGGTTCAACGTCCAAACCAATAGGTCAGATCATTTTAATGAAATATAATGAGTGGCCTTTATAGCCTATAGCCATAAACCATATGGTCTCTGAGAAACAATCACAGGAAGTAAAAACCACTTCAACATAAACAAGCTGTGCACTTGAATACGCTGCTTTGTTACTGTTGGATGGTGGTCGCAGATCTGGCTGCCACAGTGTTGACGGACGAAGATTTGCTGCATGAAATGGTCTCAGAGGGAAAAGCTTTACTCCCTCCCACCCTGTACTTTACATGGGAAATGCGATCAGATGAGGCCAGATGTCATAAAACTACATACAACATGAACATTCATTGACCTTCAACGATGAACAGATTTAACTTCAGGAGGAAGTACAGTGGACAGAGTTATTCATAGCCCAGCTTCAACTATTCCAACCCTGTTACCAAATAAATGCTGAATGATTCCTCGTCTGACAGAACTCAGATTTTTTTTGCAGAATTGCTTACTTAGAAGCATGTTTGTAAAGTGTTGGTAAAAAGTATGGAATGATAAACACTGTGGCTGTGTGTCCATGAAGGGATATAAAACCTCTGCTGAATTTGAGATTTGTCAGGGAAAAGCATTAGCATTCACTCCCCAAAAAACGATTTCCTTAGTCTTTTTTTTTTAAACTGTATTTTGTCTGATGTGCAGACTGGATATCAGTGAGGTTTTCTCTTTGCTGAAGCCAGTAGCAGGTGGTGAGGAAAACCATGTGCACTCTGTGTGAATGCTGTGGTTGTTTTGATACTTATCCTGGGCTCTGTGTGAAGCTGGCTTCAGAAACCAAACACAGAACACAAAGAGAAACAGATCCCAGAACCTTCACCAAACTACAACAGAAACTGCACAGCTGATCCGAGAATTCATATCTGAACAAACCCTGAAAAATTAACACAAATGCCAACTTAGCATTCTATTAAAAAAAAAAAAAAATCAAATTTATAACCTAATGTCGTGGTGTTTTCAGCCTGGTACAGAACTATTAAATGCAAACATTTCTGAATGCATTGCTCTTGTCAGATTCTTTGTGCTAAACCTAGGCTGCAGTCCACATTTAAATTTGTACATGCACGGGGGAAAAAAGCCTGCAGCCACAGATGACTGTGGTGGAAGATTTAGGAGTAACAGAGTAAATTACATGCACAGAGTTAATTGTACAGAGAGGCAGCCTCAAGCACATACCTCTGTATCACTGTTCACTTCAACAACTGCAGCCATACTAGTCCTTAACAACCAGTGGTCTTCCTCAAGGTTTT